TGTTGGCTCATTCCCCAAATGGTCACAATGGCCAGGCCGAAACCATTTTTTTCCTGGATCTCCCACATGGGTGCTGAGGCCTAAGGACTTGGGCCATTCTCTGCTGCTTCCCTAGGCATATTAGCAGGGAGCTGGACTGGGAAGTAGAGCAGCTGGGACTTGAACCCATGCCCATACGGAATGTTGGTGTCACAGGTGGCAACCTCACTTACCACACCACAATGCTGGCCCCAGTTTGGGGCAGGGGCTGGCTGTAGCAGTTAAGACGCTCCTGGGGACCCCCACATCCTATGCAGGAGCCCTGTGTTTGAGTCCCACCTGTGCTTCCCACTCATTTCCTGACAATCTGAACCCCGGGAAGCAGCAAGCAATGGCTCAAGGACTCGAGCCCGGGCACTAATGTGGAAACCCAGATTTTCAGATGAATTCAGGGCTCCTGGCTTCAGCATGACTGTCTTGGGTATAAACAAGCAAAGAGAAGATTTTTCTATGTCTTTCAAATAAAACAGAAATAATTTAATTTAAAAAATCTAAAACTGGCTGTATTTCAGTAACACAGAAATATACCTTACTGAACTTGAATGAAACATAAGTAGTCGTACAGTATTTTTGCACAAAATAGTGGATTGGTAGCTGAGAGACTTGTTACTTGGTTAAAACAATTGGTTTTGGGTGTAGCTAAATCCTTGCTTTGCACACACTGGGATCCCATATGGGTCCCGATTTGTGTCCCAGCTGCCCCACATCCCATCCAGCTCCCTGCTTGTGGCCTTGAGAAAGCAGTGGAAGATGGCCCCAAAGCCTCGGGACCCTGCCTGGATTGGCTCAGCTCTAGCCATTGCAGCCACTAGGGGAGAGGACCAGCGGACAGAAGATCTTTCTGTCTCTTTGTAGATCTGCCTTTCCAATCTTTTTTAAAAACTGCTTCTGTTTTGAAGCTACTGAGCTAGAATTATGGAGGCTGATTTTTTTTTTTTTTTTGCATTAAGCATCAAGTAATTATATAGGCGCCGAATGTCACATAAGTTTAAATTGTATTCACAGTTGAGTTTTTAGGTGAATATGGTTTATAAACACATCAATCACAAACTTTTATATATTTATCTTTTCTGTTGTTGTTTTTAATGTTAATTTTCATTTACCTGAAAGGGTGAGTGACACAGACACAGAGGGAGACCTTTCATTTTTTGGTTGATTCCCCAAATATCCACAATAGCCAAAGCTGAGTCAGGTGAAAGCCAGGTTCCTGGATGCCGCTGGGGTCCCCAAGTATTCGAGGCACCAGGCCCATCTGTAGGAGGCTGGACTGGAAGCAGAGGAGCCAGGGCTACACCAGCACCCCAGACACCATGCAGGCGTCCCAGACACAGGCTGAGCACTCAACCCACTGCAGCATGACACACAATACCATTCCCTGAGTGACCACAAGGACTGTCTGCTACACGTTTCACAGATGGCCCCTGAATGAAAGCCATCAACATTCCCCAGGAACACCATCCCCAACTCCCGCCGGCCATTGTCCTAGAACCGCCCACCTACAGCTGAGTGCCCAGGGGTGGGCTAGTCCTGGCCGCGGACCCCACTGCCTACCTACCCTGATCCACTCACTTCCTCAGGTTGGGACTGCCCAGCTTGGTCCTGGTGACCCAGCACATAGTCCCGGCCTGCCCTGACCCCAGTCCAGGCCTCATCTCCTCACTGGACGCACAGCAGCTCCTTCCCCAGCTCCAGCCCCAGGCAGCCTGTGAACACCCGGCTGGGCTGGCCCTCCCAGCATCCATGACCTTCCATGCAAGTGTCGAGCAACCACTGTGTTTCTCCCAGCCTCAGCGTGCTCGCACCTGCTCAGTCTTCCCTCTGAAGCCCCCTGCCTTTCCCTCTCTTTAGCTGTTACTCAGGAAGCACCTCCCAGACATTCCTGTACAGGGAATCCCAGCTCCTTGGCCTTTACCTCCATGGCTCCTTCACCTGTGGCCTTGTGGTCATTTAGCTGACATCTAACTCACATGGTGGACAGGTCTACGGCAGAGACCTCCTCGGATATGGCTCAACACAGGGGTCTAATGGACCAGCTCTCTGGGGCTTCTGACTTCCAAGGATACACAGCTGGGGTCAGAATCCCAGCCATGAAAGCCAGTGCCAGCCGGCCGCTGCACTGCAACGTCAGGAGGATGACATGGTCTTCCCAGCCCTGTCTGCGGCCTTTGCAACTCAGTCAACAGTGAGGTTGGGGGGTGGGCTAAACACCTAACGGAAGCAGACAAGGGGAGGGGAGAGCTTAAAGACTTTTATGAGCAGGCACAGACCCTGAGGTACAGCTCACCTGGGACAGTGCAGACTGAGGTGTGTGTGTGTTGTGTGTCATAGCTCACCTGGGACTGGTGCAGGCTGAGGTGTGTGTGTGTTGTGTGTCATAGCTCACCTGGGACTAGTGCAGACTGAGGCGTGTGTGTTGTGCTAATAGGTCACCTGGGACTGGTGTAGACTGAGGGGTGTGTGTGTGTGTGTGTGTGTGTGCCCGCGTGCCCTTCCCCGGGGCATGGTGGGGGGTGGAGCAGGGGACAAGGACAGAGAGGACCCAGCTGATGCACACTGAGGCGCTCTGCCTTCTGCCTTGTCCCATCTTGTCCATCCTCTCGTGACTAATCTCACAGGTTCTGAACAGGTGTGTCTCTCACCACGAGGCCTTTGGGGAGAGTGGGGCCTATCCTGGCTCTCACCCCTGGGCAGGGCACGGCAAGTATGTGCTGTGGCTGAGTGAGGGCAGGGCTCACGGGTGGGGTGGCCTCACGTGGATGCGGCAGCCATCGTCCACGGGGTAGGAGCCCAGCAGTGCGTCCTCTCGATCCAACTTGCCGTATAACTTGTCATCGCCTCCATACAGCTCCAGCTCCATGCAGGAAGCAGGGCTGCCCACCACCAGCTGCAGTTTACACTGCGGGCAAAAGGCCGGGTGAGGGGAACGCGCGCCAGGGGCTGCATCCTCTGCCCTGAGGCTGCACCCCCGGCTCCGGACAACCAGGGGCGCAGCTCTGAGGACCCGCCCGCTCAGCCTCGCCCCGGTTCCGCCGGCTCGCCCCGGCCGAGGCCAAGTTCCACCGCCGTTCCAGGACCCCTCGGGGTCCGCACCCCGTGCCCAGCCCCGGGCAAAGCGCGCATCCTCTCCGGCCCCGCCCCCACGCCGGGAAGCCCCTCCACCACCTCGCCCTGACCCGCCCCCAGGGCCACACCTTTAACTCCGCGATGGTGAGGCTGCGACTGTACCGCCTCTCTGTGCAGAAGGTGTTGAGGGAGCTGCTGACGAAAACGGTCACCACGGGCGCCGAGACCCCGGACACCTCCATCTCGCTGCGCCGCACAGCGGCCCGCACCCCGGTTCGCCGCCTCACGCCGGCTCCGCCAGACACCACCTCTGCTTTGGGGCTATTAGCCCCGCCCTCTGCTCCCGGTTTCGACCAATCCACGACCTCCCTTCAAGAGAGTCAGCGAATCACCGCCGTGCCTGCTCCCCCACCTCCAGGAAAAGGGCGAAGTCTCATAGAGGCTCCAGCCAATCTGGAGAGGTCTTTTATGATGGTTCACCAATCCTCCCAATAGCGGCCCGGGAAGCGGCCCGGGCCGAAGCCGAAGGGCGGGACTGGCAAGAGTGCACCATTTCCGCCAAGGGTAAAAGGCTTCCACAGCCGGGCAAAGAGCAAGTTCTCCTTCCGCTGATTCCCTCTGCGGTTGTCGTACTAGAGCAGTATCATTGTGGGGAGGCGAGGTCTGGACATCGGGAGCGGTTGTTTAGGATGAATTAAGATTGAGGACAGTAGTCACTCCTCGAGGCGCGCCCGGTTCCGTGCTGGCGAAGCGGCAGGACTTGGCCCTTCCCGCGGCCTGTAGCGCGCGCCGCGCATGCGCCGTTCGCCTGAGCGGGGCAGACGTCGTCATGGACGCGGACGGGACCTACGAACCTGGCTTCGTGGGTATCCGGTTCTGCCAGGAATGGTGAGGTCGGGGAAGCAGGTGTGTGTGTGAGGGGGACGGAGCACCAGCTCCAGCACTGACCCCTGGCCGCCCCTGTCCCGCAGTAACAACATGCTGTACCCCAAGGAAGACAAGGAGAACCGCATCCTGCTGTACGCGGTGAGCGCGAGGCTGCGGGGCGCCCCCACCCCGCGCGTCCCGGGCGCGTCTCGGGTCGCTGTGACGAGCCCCGGCTCTCCCGCCGTGTCCATGCCCTTCCCGGTACCCCCCGCCTGCCCTGCCGGCCCCTTCGGGGCTGCCGCGGTCTCGCCTTGACCCCGTCCCCGCCGCACCCCTCCTCCGCAGTGCCGGAACTGTGACTACCAGCAGGAAGCCGACAACAGCTGTATCTACGTTAACAAGATCACGCACGAAGTGGAGTGAGTGGCAGCGCGGGCGCGCGGGGCCGGGTCCCGCAGGGGTGGGGCTCGCGAGGCCGAATGACTGACCCCACACCCCGTCCTGCCCGCAGCGAGCTGACCCAGATCATCGCCGACGTGTCCCAGGACCCCACGTTGCCGCGGACCGAGGACCACCCGTGCCAGAAGTGAGAGGCGGGCCGGCCTGTGGGAGGGGGCGTGCCCGCCGGCCGGACCTGTGGCCGGCTCCCAGTGACCGCACCGTCCCCTCCCTTGCCAGGTGCGGCCACAAGGAGGCGGTGTTCTTCCAGTCCCACAGTGCCCGGGCCGAGGTGAGGGGTGCACCTGCCTCTGGGGAACCGGGCTGGGGCCTTCCTGATTTGGAGAGCAATTGTGGGAGTGAGGCCCTGTGTGAGGGGAGGGTTCCGCGCCGGTGCCTGACCCCTTGCTAACTGTGCCCGGTTTCTGCCAGGACGCCATGCGCCTCTACTATGTGTGCACGGCCCCGCACTGTGGCCACCGCTGGACCGAGTGACCACCCCACCGGGCGCCGCGGATAATAAATGACAGGTTCTGCACCCCGGTTTGGTTCATGTATTTGCCTCGTGGTGGGATGTCCATCGAGTGAGTGCATCAGACAGGGCGGTGCAGGGCGCGGTGCTGCGCGTAGGCCTCCGGCCTGGAGCTGGTGAAGCCGCAGTCCTCGCACACGTGCAGCTTCTCCCGGCGCTCGCGGTAGGCGTAGCTGGCTGGCTGGCCATGCACCTTGGCCAGGTGCGCTTCCAGGGAGCAGCGCTGGGTGAACGCCTTCCCGCAAGCGCCGCAGCGGAAGGGCCGGATCCCTGCGCAGACCAGGGAGAGGAACAACAGCCTCCAGACTGATCCCGCACCCCATCTCACCCTCCCACATTGACCACTTCCAGTCCATATTCCAAGCCCTTCAGACAGCAGTGCCCATGAGCCATGGTCTTCCCTCCGGCCTCACAGACGTGGGCCAGGCACTGCTTTCCTCATGTTCTCACTCCCCCACCAGAATGTGCCTTCCCCTGCGTGGCCCTTACACCTCTTAATTCTCTAAGCACCCACCTTCCCTGCAGGACTCTAGGCAGGTGCCACCTTAAACCCACGCTGCGGGGCGTGGGGGAGTGGAATGGACAAAGTGCATGGAGTCTCTGACCTGCTGCATCCCCGCCCCATGTGTACATATCCCAGGAACTCCATCTGCCTGGCACCTCCTCCCATGTCACCCGATCTCTGCCCAGGGACCGCCAGCCCCTCTGCCCTGCCATCACTCACCAGTGTGAGTCCTCATGTGACGCTTGAGATCAAAGGCATCATGAAAGCCTTTGCCACAACAGCGGCATACATGGCGCCGGGCCGGGCTGTGGCATTTGAGGTGGCGTGTCAGCATGCGCTGCAGCGGGAAGGCCTTGGGGCAGAGTGGACAGCCGAGTGTCCCAGGGCCTCTGGGAGCAGAGGCCAAGGTGCCCTGTGTGGGCTTCCAGAGGGACACAAGAGTTAGGTCCTCCCCACCTTTGTTCCTGTACGAACAAGTATTTACAGAGCACCGAGAGCCGAGGAGGATGGAAAGGCCAGGAGTGTGTGCGTGCACCTGCCACCTGCTCTTGTAGCTGCCCTGGCTTTTACCACAACTCCGTTTCTCCATAGCAAGTGCCATAAACCCCCAATCCTTCTGTCCCCTGCTGGAATATAAGCTCAGGACAGCAGAGGGCTTTGGCCTTACGCCTGCTAAGTTCATGGTACCTGGAACAGTGCCTCGTTCTCACTAAATACTCAGATAACCAGGAACACATCTTCATTCTGACAAATGCTTTTCTTCTCACAAGGCACACACGGCTCAACCAGCCCTTCTGAGAGACTTCACTTCCCTCCTTGTCCTGTAGCCTTGGCCAGAAAGCAAGTCGCCCGTTCTGCCCTTCTGCACCGAGAGATCCCTATGGAATGGGGAAATGGGGCTTGGGCTGGGCCTGCTTCTGTAAAAGGAGGAGCAGGAAGGACCATGGCTAGGAAAGCCCTGAGGCTGGCAGGCACATGCAGGTGGCTCGCGAGTGAGGGGCAATGAGGCTGAGAGTGGACAGGGAGGAAACTGAGTCAGACAGAGGCCAGCTGCAGACTCACCGCTGCCCAGGAGTCCACGAGGCCGGAGGGCTGGCGTGGCGGCAGCACCCCCAGGCTGCTGCAGTCTGAGGAGAGAGGCTAGATGGTGATGCTTTGTGTGCCTTCCCCACCCCACCCCCACCCTTCAGGCCCAGACAGGGGCCCACCTGGCACATAGGCATCGCCCCGGAGCTGGTCAGGCAGGTGGCCCCAGTTGGGTGGCTGCACACGCCTGCTCCTGACCAAGAAGGCTCGGGGCATCACCTCAGGAATGGGGAGACAGACACAGATCCACGTTTGCAGGGCTACTGCCGTCTCCACCTGCTGCAGAACCTCAACCAGAGGACTGTCCCAGGTGGGAAGGGGGGCCAGTGTGGAGGAGCCTCCTCATGCAAATTTCCTGACGAAGCCAGGAAGCTGACCCAGCTGCCCGCAGTTACCTCCGCCTAGGTCCAGTTCCTGAGGGGCCTCTCCAGCCTGCAGGTACAGGCAGCACTGGGACCCCCAGAGAGGGTCAAGCAAGGGTAGATGGGCCTGGAGAGGCTCATTGGCGTGGGGAAAGGAAATGTGGCTGGGGTAGTGTTCCCCCATGGTATGGACAAGCGAGGGGGCTTGAGGAGTTGTTTGCCAGGCAAATCAGTCACTCCTGGCCATTGAGCGGTCAGCTTGGTTATTCAAATCCTAGCAGCTGTCTAGGGAGGGAGGAGTGGAGGGGGCAGCTGTGATTGCACTGCTCCAGAGCATGGCAAGGGCAGCAGGGCTACCTCTTCAGACGCCCAGAGCCCAGTTCAAGTGGAGCAGGGTTAAAATCTGATGCCTAGTCTGACTCGCAGCGACTGCCTGGGACACCACTCCTCCCATTCCTCAGTCGGGGGTGGGGATACACAGGAAGCTGGTCCTGATGGCCAGCGTCTGGCCAGGCTGTTGTAAGTGGCTCAGGGTGTCTTGATTTTCTAATCAGAGGTTGCAGGTCTTGAGTTCCCATGTAGCTGTTTCATTTATTTACCCAGCAATATTTTGAGTTCCGACTTCAGGCCAGGTCTAGGTCAGCACTGAGAATCAATACCTAAGTCCATGGGGAAGACACACCAGTGGCAGTCCAGAATGATCAAGGGAGAAGGGGATAGAGTCAGTGTTGTGACACAGCAAGTAAATCCATCACCTGTGATGCTGGCATCCCATAAGAGAGCCAGTTCTAGTCCTGGCTGCTCCACTTGGTTCCAGTTCTCTGCTAATGTCCCTGGGAAAGCAGAAAATGGCTCAAATGCTTGGGCCCCTGAACCTACATGGCAGACCTGGATGGAGTTCCTGGCTCCTGGTTTCAGTCTGGCCCAAGTTTGGCCATTGCAACCATCTGAGGAGTGACCTAGTGGATAGAAGATCGTTTTTGGACAAGTGCCATGGCTCAACAGGATAATCCACCTGTGGCAACAGTATTCCATATGGGTTCCAGTTCATGCCCAAGCTGCTCTACTTCCAGTCCAGCTCTCTGCTTAGGGCTTGAGAAGGCAGAAGAGGATGGCTCAAAGGTTTGGGCCCTTACTCTCATGGGAGACCCAGAAGTTCCTGGCTACTGTCTCCCAATTGGCTAGGCTCTGGCTGTTGTGGCCATTTGGGGAGTGAATCAGCTGATGGAAGATCTCTCAAAATAATAAACCTTTTTCAGCCCAAATAGAACAATTGGAGAGTTGTGAGGCCAGAAAGAGTTTCTGATCTAGGGAAGGGATTCAGGGATAACTTCCTGTGAGCCTGAAAGGTTTTTAGGGGGCTGGCATCCCATATTAGAGGCTAGTTCCTGTCCTCTTCCTCCACTTCTGATCCAGCTCCCTGCTAATGTCCAGGAAAGCAGCTGCTTGGGTCCCTGCTATCCACATGGTAGACCCAGTTGGAGTTACTGGCTAAAGTCCTTGCCTTGCACATGCTGGGGGTCTCTTATGGCTGCTGGTTCTAATCCCAGCGACCCTGCTTCCCTTCTAGCTTCATGCTTGTGGCCTGGGAAAGCAGTTGAAAATGACCCAAAGCCTTAGAACCCTGCACCTGTTTGGGAGACCCAGAAGCTGCTGGCTTTGGATTGGCTCTGCTCCACCCATTGCAGCCACTTGGGGAGTGAATCAGCAGATAGAAGACCTTCCCATCTGTCTCTCCTCTCTGTATCTATCTGGAAACTTTACAGAAGAGAAAGATCTTCCTTCCAATGGCTCACTCTCTAAATGCCTGTAATGGCTAGAGCTAAGCTGATGAGGAACGAGGAGCCAGAAGTCTTTTACAAGTCTCCCATGCGGGTGCAGGGCCCCAGGGACCTGAACCATCCTCTACTGCTTTCCCACGGTATAAGCAGGGAACTGGATAGGAAGTGGAGCAGCTGGCACATGAATTGGCACCCATATGGGGTGCTGGGCTTACAAGGGGGAAAGACTAGCTAATTGAGCCATTGTGCTGAGCCACAGGGAATATTTCTTTACATTCTCCTAATGATAGTTTCAGTGAAGGAAGGAGGCAGTGTGAATTGCATAACCTGGGCAAGTTGTCCCGTTCCTGCCCCAACTAGTCTGTTTCTTCTGGGACAGTGTGAGAAGACTGGCAGCTGTTCAGCCAAGGGGTGGTTAGGTGAACACCCCGGCCACAGTAAGGCCATCTGTAATTAAGGATCTCATAACTTGTATTGCATGTAGCTGCAGGTGCAGGGCCTTGCACAGGCCTGGCATCACGGCACCTCAAAGCTGTTTTGGCAGTCAATGCTGCCAGTAGGCCAAGGGGAGATGGTGCTGTGAAGGAAGCTTCTGCAAAACAGGCTGGGAGCTTCCCTTCCTCTGGCACAGCCCCATGCCCATCACATTATTTCTCCCAAGGCCACTGGTCCCTGTGTTTACTGTTGCAAACACTGGGGTGTGTGTGTGTGTACTGTTTTGTATCCTCCTTGTCCCTCCCCTCTCGGCCTGTGCCTGATCATCTCCCATTCCACCCTCATGTTTTGGAAGGCTGGCTGCCAGCTACCAGGCGCTGGGCTGTTTGTAAGCTACTGCATGTTCCTGATGCATGGTGCACATTAGGGCAGCAGATGGCACACCCTCACGACCAAAGGCCCAGCTCTGGCACCAGGCCCACAGGGCTGAGCATCAGCTTTGGTTCTGGGTCAGCCAGTTGCTGGTAGGGAAGTGTTCCTGGTCCCAGCAAATTGGAGAGGGGTAGGGTACAGAGACTCTGCCCCTGCTGGCTTCCCAGCAGACACATGTGGCAAGATGCCTACTGCACAGGAGAGCTGGCACCAGTGCTGGGGCTCTGTGTGATGTTGAAACAAGAGGGAGTGGTTCCAGTTGCAGGGTGGCCTGGAGGTGCAGCTAGTGACTGTCCAGTGGCTGGGACCACAGCCTGGCCCAGGGGTCATGAGCCGGTATGTGGAATATGCATCCTAGAGGGCAAGGTCAGGTGGCAGGTGCCCATAGTGGCCCCAGCGAGTTCCAAGGCATCAGGAGGGTGCAGGAAGGGCTGGCCCTTCCTTGGGCAGATCACCCACCGCCTCTGGCCACAGCAAACAGGCTAGGGACAGGCAATATGGGAGGCCAGCAGTGGGGACTGCTGCTTGTCCCATGCTGCCCGTCCTAGGTATGGAACATGTGTGGGTCCTGGGGCTGGTGGTCCTAAGTTCTGTCCTCCACCCTGCCCCCTATTTGTGAACAGCCTGGGATAGGTTCCAGGGACCACTGCTCCAAGCCTGTCACTTTATTTCTTAAAACATCTATTTGTTTGAAACAGCAGGACTGTAGCGGGGGGGTGGAGGGGGAGGAGGGACTGCTGGTCTTAGTCCCCCCGCACCTTCCTGCGCACAGCTTGCACTAGTAGGTCCGAGTAGTGTTCCAGCATGGCGTGCAAGTCCGGGCTGGCCAGCGGGCACAGCAAAGATGGGTTGGTGGTGCCTGGACTGGGCAGGACCTGGGCAGGGTTAACCTCCGACCCAGCCAGCCAGTTGGTGGCTTCCAACTGACTGTGGATCCAGAAGAAGGTGGATGCCAGCTCACTCTGTGCCTGCCGCTGCTCGGCCCCCATCTGATTGCTGGAGACCAACTGCAAGGGACATCATCTGGTCAGCACCCACCCTGGCTGGGCTGTCCCAAGGGAACCGCTCAGCCCTCTCCCTGCTTCGGGCCTGGCTTACCGTGTGATAAAGGCTGAGGGCTTCCTGAAAGGCGGTCCGTAGCCTGTGCACAACCCTCCCTGTGCGGCTAGTCTCTGGGGGTGGGACTTCGGCCAGAGGCCCTGGTGGTCCCCAGTGGCCAGGACTGCCCTGGATGAGAGTGAGTGCATCTGGGGATAGAAACAGAGCAGTAAGCGAGACGCTGGGCTGCCCAGCTGGTCTCAGAGAGGCCAGGGCTGAGCCCAGTCCACAGCAGACCCTCTGTCACTAGCGTTGCCACCTTATGCCCCGAGGCCCCCTGACCTCCCCACCTAAAAGCAGGCCTCTGTTCCTCTCTCCACTCCATGGGGCCCCCACTGTCCCCGAACATAGTGCTCTGCAATGCTTGTAGTTTCCCTATGGGTTTTGTCTGGGCACTGCCCTCAGTTATGATGTCAGCTCTCTCTAGGTTGTTCACCACTGTGTCCCCAAAGCCCAACATTAGTGAGGTGCTACTGAATACTTCAGTTGGTGAGCAACGCATGAGGGGCCCAAACCTCAAGGAGCCCACTTTGGAGCTGAGCCAGGCAACAGAAGCTGAGGGTCAGTCCCTTGTCGCCAGGAGGGTACTTACCAGGGGTGGGGTCCAGGAGGGGAGCAGTGCTACCAGAGATTCCAGGCCTGGCCTCTGGACACTGGGGGTTGCTGGAGTGGGCAGAAGAGTGGAGGGGCTCAGGGGCTGGGAGTCTCGTGAAGAAAGCAGAGACGTGGGGCCTTAGGACATTAACATCCATGGAGCTGGGGGCTGGGAAACGGGCTGCTGGGACCGTGACACAGGGCTGGGTGTCCATGGGCTCCTGGGACCAGATGCACATGGTGGGTGAGTCCAGCGTGGGCGGGGCTGGCAGGAGCCTATCACAGACGCTCGTCAGGGTCAGTCTCAGATTGGCCCGGGCCTCATGGTTGCCCCAGGACGGGAGGGCAGGCCCTTGGCCCTCTCTGCCAGCATTGGGTGTCACTGTAGTGGTGATGGGGTACAGCTTCTGGCCCAGTGAGGCCAACTCCCCCATAGATGAGGGCCTCCTGAGGGGCCTGGCCAGCTCAGCCTTGAGAGAGCCTTCACTGTCCTCGAGGGAGACGCTGCGTGAGA